CAGCCACTAGCAGCTAACAATCGCCGTACTAGCAGCAGCCACTAGCAGCTAACGATCGCCGTACTAGCAGCCGACACTAGCAGCTAACGATCGCCGTACTAGCAGCAGCCACTAGCAGCTAACGATCGCCGTACTAGCAGCAGACACTAGCAGCTAACGATCGCCGTACTAGCAGCAGACACTAGCAGCTAACGATCGCCGTACTAGCCCACTAGCACCCGACGTCGACGTACACGTCCGGAGTCGTCGGCTGCCCTCCACCTCCGTCGCCGCTGCTCCTCACCGCTAGATCCATCGGTGCCGACGTCGCTTCCGCCGGCCGCGATTCCATCGGACACTGGGCGGGCGGATCCCCGCCGCCTCCTGCCACGATGACGAGTCTGTTTGGGAAGGTACCGTGGAGCTGACTGGACGTGTACACGCCGTCGTGCACGCCCTGCTGAAGCGTGTGCGTCAGGTTGTGGCGCCGGAGGTCGCAGTTGCGCCGGAACACCTATTGAACGCAAACGAACGGCCGCGTGAGCTCGCGCACTTTGTCTCGGTTTAGCATCGAAATCTAAGATGGCGTCTGTTAACGATATTTAAGATGCTCACGCCTTCAAATTTTCTGCACCACTGTTTTAACGATGTCTAAATTTTAGATGGCGTCTGTGGTAATTAGGAGTTCAACGATCACGCAATCTTGCCACTGTTTTAACGATGACTAAATCACTGTTTTAACGACGTTTAAATGCACGATGGCGTCTGTGGTAATTAGGAGTTCCACAATCACGCAATCCTGCCACTGTTTTAACGATGACTAAATCACTGTTTTAACGATGTTTAAATGCACGATGAGGTCTGTGGTCATTAGGAGTTCCACAATCTTCACGCCCTCAAATTCTGCGCCACTGTTTTAACGCAGCAGCGAATCTCATTTGCTCTCGATTGATTTATCACCATGCAGACGTTTTTATTGTCTGATTTTCTTGTGAATAGTCTGTTTATTCTTGTGAAAAGAATTTCGTTCGCCTTGTATTAGTGCAGAAGTATCGACGATTTAATTAGCGTGATTAATTAGAACAAATTATTAATCCTAAATTCGTTACAAAAACGCAAAATGGCGATATTCCATCTAGCCACAGACAAGCAGGTTTTGTGATAATTATAGCGGTATAGAGTGACTAGGTACCATGCCCGTACTACGGACGTATGCCAGGCTACAATACATATTATTAGCATGAACACTAATTATTTGCTGTACACGTGCTTCCAATATTATATGTCCGGCTTCAATACATATTAGCACGAGCACTAATATTCCTTGCTGTACATGTGCTCCAAATATTGGTACACATTGGTACACATTGTACGCATTGGCTACACTATACGGCGGCCCTCTCACCTTGCCACAGTCTGCGCAGTTGTACGGCTTGATGTCGGTGTGGGTCAACAAATGCGTCTTCAAGTTGCTGCGTTGGTTGAAGCTTCGTCCGCAGGTCGGACACTTGTGCGGCGAGTCGTCCATGTGCAGGATCTTGTGCACGGCCAACGTGCGAGACTGACAGAATCCCTTACCGCACTCCTGACACTTAAACGGCTTCTCCTTCGAGTGTATGTACCTAAAGATGCGCCAACGCACTCCCGTATTATAAACTTTAAACCTTTTTATGCGAAAATTTTGTCCTGAAATTTGAACAGCTTCTCCTTTGAGTGTATGTACCTATAGATATACGCCAACACGCATGTGAGGTCCTCTTATCATAAACTACCGAAATTTTTGCGACGAATTCGCAAACTTCAATGCTTCGTAAAATTGTTTTTTTTATAGGATGTTAGCTAGCACAACCATACACCTACGTATATCGACACCCGATCCGGTCTGAGAATAATATATATATTATATATAATATAATAATATTATAAAATATAATATAATATAAAATATAATATAATTAATTATATATATATATAATATGTGGTGGCATTAACAACCGGTTACCTGTGATCGCGCAGGTGGTCCTGTCGCCGGAAGGCTTTGTGACATATGTCGCACGTGTAGGGACGCTCGTCCGTGTGCGTGCGTTCGTGGATTAGCAGGTTGTAGGACTTGGTGAAGTGTCGCTGGCAGTATTTACAGATGAACTCTTTCTTGCCTCGGCGCGGGACGGGAGCGCGTCGTGCGGACTTCTCCGCTTGGAAGCGGTGGGGCGGGTACGGGAAACCCCGAAACGGCGCCAACTGAAGTGAAAAGCATGGGTTCATCTCTGGCAGTAATGGAACGGCGTTTTAACGAAAGATTACCGCTGAATATTATTTGTTCACAACTACAGCATTCGTTGAGGACTTACGAGGGTGCTATTGGATGTATAAATTGTTGAGAATGATTCTCAAATCTGTGGTTCGCACGTGCGTTTATATTTATTAATATCATTATAATATTTTATTATATAAATTATTATATAATAATATATAAATATATAATGTATACATAAATTATTATATATATTATTATATATAAATATTAATAATAATAACATTACTTTTTTCTAAAAAAATCGAGGATAGTGGTGTCAGCAAATCGGTTACCTGGCGTTTACTGGGAAACGCTATCTGCTCTGCTGATTTTCTTGTTTCCGCGTCCTCTGTCGCAGCTTTAGCGAGGTGAGCAAAGTCGAATTTTTTCCCAGGAGAAAATTCCGTCCGCGAAGCAAACGGTGGCCCCATTGCCCGAGGAATGTAGTATTCATTCGCCTCATACTGCTTATCAATAGAGAGTATTAAGCGTTAGATATATATATATATATATATAATTATTGCACCTGTGTTCGTTAGATATATGATATAATATATAATCATCCTCTAATAAACAATGTTGAATTAACAATGATATATAACGATATACTTATTGTAACAATGTATATATTTATTACATCGTATTATATCATATTATATATATATATATCTCATTATGTCGGATACCAACTACTCTGGTATACAAATTCTATTTTTTAAAACAGTGTAAGTTTCACGTAAACTTACACTCTATCAAAAAACTATAGAATTGAATTTTTATTGAGGAAAACGTGGACACTTCGTTTTATACCTTGATGAAAGGCACGCCCTCGCGGTAATCCCCAGTGCGGGCTGACGCTGGCATCTGAATATCGGTGATGGACATCGGAGGGTAGGAACATGGGTACGCCCAACCGCCCATACCGGAGCAGGCCATCGGGAAAATCGGATACGCGGCCGGCGAAATGTGCGGATAGACGGGCATGGGAATGTGGATAGGATGCGTGGAGTAGCCATCCAACATCGGGTGAAACCCGCTCAGTCCTATCGCAGGCGACAGCACCCCACTAGGAAACAAATCCGTCGCTGGAGGGCGCTGTTGTACGTGCAGACTCGCTACTGCGGCGGATGTGGGCGTGAGAGGTGGCGTCGGTGGAACTCTGTTCTCCGTTCGCGTCTCCGCTGCAACAAAAAAAACATCATCGATGAAAACGTGATGAATAAACACACCGACCGTTGTTAGTCACATCCGCCATCTTTGGTAAACAAGAGCGAGAGGTATCGCGGTCTAACATTTTAGCGTCTAATGTGTAAGAAGGCTGCCCAGCTAGGACCTGTGTATCATAACTAGCTCTAGTACTATAGCAGCAGGCCTGCGGCAACTGTACGCGGGCTATAGTACTAGAGCTATATGTCATAACATGATAACACGAGTGTATATTATATTGATATATATATATATATATATATATATATCAAGAGCGTATTAAGCATATATTGTAGATATTGTACGGTCTTGTAGATATATATATATATATATATATATATATATATATATATATATATTATACACTCCTGATAATAATACACCCAGGCTCACAGCAACAGCGATTTACTACGACGTTACATTTTCTGGATTCTTTTACACCGCACTGGAATGCAAAAATCTAAGTGTTATAATGGATGTCTATTTTCCTTTTAAATTGGCTCTTAGGCTAATTGCAACCGCGCGAAGCACACTCGAAGAAAAAACCCCGATAACGAGCTCTTCGAATTTCGCTATACGTGCGTGCTCGTGACATCGTCTCTAGCAATGACAGCTGGTCTGAATAACCACAGGCATCAATATTTAAGTTACAACATTTACGATATTTGAATATAATACGCGCACCGAACAAACCTCGCCAGCTGCGTTCGCGAAATAACCGCGAATGAGGGTTTCTAGTGCGCGTGCAGCGAACGAACGCTGTGTATTTGGACAAGATGTTTTTAGTTAAATTAGTGTACGCCTTTTTAAACACGATAGTAGTTCGGGAAGCATTAGATGCTATCGGAGCTAGTAAATGTTTCACAATCAGCGTTTAGTAAGCGTTCCCGACTCTTTCTAGTAGGCACACGGTGTCATAAATCAGTAACCGATCTTGCGATATATGCCGTCTCGAAAGACTAAGGGTTGGGTTGACAAGCCATGCTAACTATAATACACATATCTCCATCGCCTATCACGTGTAAATTGAAATTGTCGGCGCTCACGCAGTATTTCATGTCATCATTCGTTAATGAAATATCACATCAGTGTGGAAGGCATGGATAGTGTATGTACTTGAGTGAGAATGATAGAAAAGGATACGGAAAGAGACCGAGTGAGAGCGAGAAGGCAAGAGAGGAGGGAACGAAGAATCCCGGTAGAGAGGGAGAGATGCAGGGAGCCAGAGAAAGAGAGAGAGCAAGTGCGGGTGGAAGGAGAAGAGAGATATAGATCTAGAGGGGCAAGGGAGAACACTGTAAAAGAAAGCTAGTATGCGAATGAGACCCAAAATATATCTCTCGACTAACATTAGTAGCAGCTACATTTCCGCATCACGTAAAATCAAGAATTAATAATAGAAGACTACGTATCTACTACAGAAGACATACTTTCTATTATAGACTCTTGGTAAAATCAAAGACCATATATACTATATAGTATATAGTATTAAGTATATAGGGTCTTTGGTAAAATGCAGCCTAGCTTGCGAGACGAAGAGACACGTGGGGTTAATTCGCACGTCTTCCTATATCAAAGCTACACATACGCATCACATCCCCCACCCCTTCCAACACCTGCAGACTCCCGCTGCGTGGCTCAATCATCTGGTAGCTCTTTCCCGGGTTCTCGCTACAACTCTATCTATACCAGATAACCATATATATACTAACATACTATAACCAGTGCCAACTCTAAATAACCTATACTATATGCAGTTGATAGCGTAAACGCACGCATCTGTAGTTACAGACTCCAGCAGCAGCGCGATCGTGTGATAATTGCTCGCAGGCCGCTTGTCGTTGCTGTGCGCCCCGCTACCGTGCTGACGTCACTGACCCCACGCAGTCGCAGACGCTGATGGCGACAGAGCCAGGCGTGCAGCGCGTGTGTATCTGCTGCCATCCCGCGCGCTCTCACGCTCTCGGTCACATGGCGGTCCGAGGCGGTGCGAGGCGGTGTGAGGCGGCAGGGGGCAAGGTGTCACCGCTACCAGGTACCGCCTGGCAGCGACAGGATACCAGCTGGCGCGCTCGTCGTGACCCGACCACGGCAGCTCCCGGAGACCAAAATCGACTAGACTTGCACCCGCGTCTCTCCGAATCCTCACTACACCATAGACTATCAACACAGTGAAAAGACGGCGGTAACCGTCTATCGAGTCGCGAGCGCCACTCGGTTATCTCTTATCTGTACTCGCCGGCAAAAAAACGCGCGCGATCACGATCAGCAGACGATATCTATAGATCGACTGCCACTACGTGTCGAAAACTTATAACAGCGCCAATTAATACACAGTGGATAGCATTTTATCGGCCGCGCACATAGACTGACCCCACAGAGTCGTTAAGATTCCCTTTGGGCTCGGTTACTGGGACGTTACAGTCCGTCTAGACCACGCGTACGCTTGTCCGGGCGAGCGATTTAGAAAATGCAGGATCCTGCGCTCGCGCTCGGATACCGTGAAAGCAAGCGGGGGCTAGAGAACGGCAGACCGGCGCAATATATCACGGAGCAAGTCTGCATCTGTGGCAGTTACGACCCGCGCCAAGGCATCATTAGAAATTTGCCAAACTGCTTTCGTGAATGACGAAAAACACTTGCGCTCACTTTGGAAGCACTTTCCGTCGATTGCCTACGACAAATATTTACGTTATGGGCCGTATAATTGCACTACTGTATACAGGTAGGGCCCCCAAGTTGTTACAGGCCGCCTAGATGTACACATGCAACTGAAATTCGGCGCTCTTCCAATAACTCGTGTCTCGTATTACTAAGATAGAAGACACGCGTCGTATGGGAATTCGTACACGATTCCATCTCCCTTCGCTTTTACCCGTGTTTGAACCCGTTGATTACCCGTGTTGATTGGACCAGGAAAATTACGCAACCTCGGGCAGAGTTTATATAAACGATGATTGTTATTAAATCTTTATTGCATGTAATTCAAATACATATACATGTACTGAGGACAGTCTTTTTCATGGAGGAAAAAACGTGATTGATGCAATAGTGATCGCCCCGACTAAATTAACGATTGCTTGTATATAACGCGCTATGTCACTTGGATGGAAAATGCTAGATGCTATACCGACAACTATGGCAGGCTCATCTCCTGTGTCGCTATTATTTTAAATTAATAATAATTTATTATATAGGGGCAATATTATTAATTACTGACATGTTCGATATGTATATATGGTGGAATCGTATTTATTTCAATAAAAGAAACAATTTTCATTGAAATTCATAATGTACAGTGCCAGGCGTATGATCTACAATGATTACAGACGTATAACGTACAAAGATGGGCTTATATAACACAATAATACGCGTATGGCGTGCAGTAATAATGCGATGGATACGCCCAAGAGGTAATAAAACACTATTATTATATAGGTAAGGTTATTATATAGCAAGCAAATTATATAGGTATATAATAATAATGTATTATTAACATTATTATAATATTATGTATTATTATGCGTGTAATTATAATGTAATAACACATTATTATAATACTAAATAATGTACGTTTAGCTTTTTGATATGGAGATGGATGCACGTTTAAATATGCGAAATCTACGCGAGAGATACCCAGTAGAAGATTACGCGCGTTGGCTGGTAGCAGGGGTGAATAATTTGTCCCCTACTGGTTGCAAGCACACTCAGCAACCAAACATCTGGTCGCGTGTGACATGTGCAGAAACAGGTGAATTGTAGTTGAGAGTGTCGAGAGATCGATGCGTCATCATATCGGTACCATGGCGACTGCATGTTGCCATTCCCACATTTGTTAGCCGTTACTTGATGAGTTGTGTTAGCAGCCGAACGTTCGGCTTGCTACAAGAGCGGCAATCCATCACGGCTGGTCAACACTCCAACCGACAGGCGTACACAGGTATATAATGTTCAGCGTATTTTACTGCAACGCCCTAAGTTCGTTGCTTCACGAGCCACTGAGGTCTGACGCACAGGAAGCGAGCAGACGCAAACAGCACAACTAGGTTAGTTCGACCAGTGTGCCTAAGGCATCGTAATACTAATTACTATTACATGTATTTAATAATTATATTAATTAAATTACTATTGAATTACAATTGTAATTGCTATTGTAGTGCTGTAAACCCATAGCCACAAGTTCATATTATCAAGAGTACATGATAGAGATCTCTATTATGTACTACTGATATTATACAGACATAGAGATGCCGCATCTGATCAGAGGGTTTTGCAACACTATCACTGGCCGAATCAAACGGTAGCATTTGATGTGTTTGGCAGACGAACGACGTGTGATTGCTCCGGACATGTCTAAGACCCGTTGATTCGTGTTTCTTGTCTCGCAGCGCCCGCGCACAATGATGAATTGTAATAAAGTGAAATTAATTCGTCTACACCGATCCGGGAAACTGGCGAGTTTTTGTCTACAGCGTTATACCGCACACATCCGCGAATTAACGATCGAATTAATTGGCACAGCATACATGATGTGAGCGAATGAAAATATGGCGCTCGAATGTCTTTAACGTTGGAATGCTGTGGTAATGTACTGAAGGTGATTGTACGATTAAATCCCAGTCTATACTATAAACTTTACGCCAATCCGTCGGCGCGATTTTGTTCATGCCTTTTCTCCTAGTCCGATCTCCTTCGCTATCGCGCTCGCTCTCACTCGCTCCCTTTCCCTTTCCTTTTCCCATTTTTATTCCACTCTCCCTCTTTCTATTTATCTCTCAATACCCTATCTCTCTCTTTTCTCTTTCTCTTTCTCTCTTTTTCTCTCTCGCTCTCTCTTTCTTTCTCTCTCTCTCTCCCTCTCTCTCTCGGTCCTTCGCTGTCTCTCTCTCCCTATTCTATCTCTCTCTCTCTCCCTCTCTCTCTCGGTCCTTCGCTGTCTCTCGCTCTCTCTCTCTCCC